TGAGGATCGGGCAATAATTACGACCTGCTGACAATTTTGCAGTTTTTTGTCCATTTCAACCCCTAAATATATGGCGATCATCTCCAAAAAGAGTAGGCTTCTATTCTGACCCTCATCTGATCCCCATGCAAAATTTCGTTAGAATCGGGCCATAAATGCGATCTGTATATGATATCCTGATATCCTAACTACTTAGTTTTGTTAGCTGTTGAAATATTACCAAATGTTTAATTCAAAATGAAAATATTCCAAAAATATGACAAAATTGAAAAAAATATGAGAAAATATTACAAAATCAATATTTTCATCTTTAGAGAGATATTTTTATGCAATTTTTTAGGCGTTTTTTCTTTCCTGCCAAGAGGCCATTCTGAATTAATGAGAACTGTCGAAATCAGTTCAGCCGTTCTCGACATATAAGAGATTTTTCAAGCTTATCCTCTTTGATAGACATATATATCGCACATATTTTGCTATATATCCGGTTTGATGGATGTTAACATCAATGTAAAGATCAGAAGTCACCTTGTCATGGCTTTTGATTTCGCCGGGATTTAAAATATTCGCGGTTTAATGAAAAATTTTGAATTTTTTCAACACAAAAGATATGGTCTATTTTACCCGCTAAATATTATCCGATGACCACCCAAATTGGTAGGCTTCTTCCCCGCCCTAAACTCTAGCTACATGCGCAATTCCGCGTCGATTGGTCTATAATTGCGACCTGTAGAGCAACTGCAAAATCAGAAATTTTTTCAGTTTTTGGTCCATTTCAACCCCTAAATATTATGCGATCATCTCCAAAAGAAATAGGGTTCTATTCTGACCTTAACCCCACCTACATTCTAAATTTCGTGAAGATCGGGCCATAATTGCGACCTGTAGAGTGATTACAAATTAACATGGACAGACGGACAGACGGACGGACGGACATACATAGCTAGATCGACTCAGCTCGGCGAGCTAGGAAGATCCATATATACTTTCCTATATGGGAAACCAATATTTCGATGTTACATAAATTCTGGCCCAATCAAACTTATAATACCCCCAACACATAGTGTTGTAGGGTATAAAAACTGTAAAATCAACCGGGTCGAACTTTGAATACCCTCTACAATTTGGGACGAATTTGGAAATTTTCAAAAAAATTAAATCCGTTTAAAATTCTGTTAAAACCATAAAAATACGGAATAATACCGTTATATTGGGGTCTATACGAAGACGTGGACCTGCCTAGGCAACTTTTGTCATAAGCCATCCAAAACCACACCAATATCCCAATCCCAGTTACGAATAGAGACCCCAAATCTATACCCTCACCCAATGCAAAATTTATTACTATTTAGAACTCTTCGTACAATTGTAGTACAAATTTCCTAAACCACCATATCACAATTCCAGTTACCAACAGTGACCTGAATATCAAATTTGAAAAGAAAAATCCTGAACTTTTTTTTTTTGAAAAAAAAAGGTATTTTTCTTCCAAAATCCTCCCTAAAAAGGAAAGCCTCATGATCTATTTTATGCCCAATGAAAAAATGATCTAATCTTAAAGGAAAAAGAATAAATTAGGATTCTGGTATAAGATATTTTTACAATAGGATAAGGTCTCCTATTCTTTTATTAGAAAATATCCTTATTATCCTTATAAAATAAAATAAAAAAGAAAATCATCTGGTTATAAAGAATATTGCCGCTCTTTGTGGTCTTCATCAAAGAGGCCCTTCAGCCACTCATAATTCCATTGAGAAGTTATTATTGGTTATTGAACGGAATTTTATTTTTTACTTAATTATTTAACTATGTATATAATTACCGAAAACTTCTTCAAATTTATCGACTCCATGTCTCGAAAATCTACCACCAAATATTCGGAAGGATTATACCGGACAACCTTAGAAATATCACATATGCGAAAAAATCAAATATTGTGTCCTCTTCGAAATTTTTTTGTGGTCTTCATCAAAAAGGCCATTCTGACACTCATAATTCCATTGAGAATATATTATTGGTTATTGAACTGAATTACCGAAAACTTCTTTAAATTTATCGACGTCATGTCTCGAAAATCTAGAGCAAATCTCGAAAACTAGAGCAAATATTGACGACCAACCAAATATTCGGAAGGATTATGCCGGAAAACCTTAGAAATATCGCATATGACAAAAAAAATCGAAATTTGCGTATTAGACATTTAAGTATGACACCGGCAAATATGTAATCTCTTCGAAATTTTTTATTGAAAATCTCTGACTGAAACCCTGTATGACTTCTCTAGATTAGAAAGAAGTAATAATTTCACAGCAGTAATACAACCCTTTTAATTCACCTATATTTATTCAAATACGAAATACCTTCGGCCACATCTCAATTTATTCTCCCATCTTCATTCATTTATCATCATCTATAAAACCTTTCGAACATCTTTAACAAATAGAATGAAAACAGCGGATTGAGCGAGCAGAACACCGCATTTGAATTAAATTGAAAAGATTCACGAAAAATAGTGAATGAACCAATGATGACTCTGAGCAAAAAAACGGAAAAATGTTTTATTGCCTCATTCTTTCGTATTGCATGAATTGCCATTAATTCATGCCATTCACCCGGCTATTTATGCCCAGAATCCATAAAATCCATTATCTGTCACTCAGCGTTCACATCTGTGTCTGTGTGTGTATGTGTGCGGACAGAGATAGATTTTGTGGCACAGCGCCTTAACACCATCATAATCGTCAGCAATTTTCCAGAGTAGATTACAGTAATGGTTCTCTGCATTACTCTCTCTCCCCCGCTTCTCTCACTCCCTCTCTCCCAACTTTCTATGCAATGATTTGACACTTATTCATAGTCTGAAATACTAACTGACATAATGGTGCCCATTCTACCATTCTCATTATGCTTATAAATGTTTCGCTTAATCCGAACAAATGTTTTCAATCCTTTCACTATCCAACCATTCCGCCCACGCTCTTTGCGCGCTCCCACTCTCTTTGTTGTTGTTGGCTTAGTATTTAAATCGGCAATAAATGCAATCTGATGAAAGAAAAGCCGGAACATTAATTAGCCCAGTTATTGGCAAAGTGGGTGGTACACAACCCCCTCCACTCTTCGAAGTTACATAGTATTGAGGCCGCGACCATTGTCAGATAGAGAGACTAGTTTTGTAAACCCAGTCAATATATTTTGAATAAGCCATCGATTCCATTGATTGATGTGCCAATGAAACATAGTCAGTTTTCCGCATTCTGATGAGGTCAATTAGTATTGAAATTAATGAAAACGTATTGAAGATTTCATAAATGTGTTGGGCCATTTAGTACCAAAACAGGGTTATAAAGGTAAGGCAGGATTTTTTAAGGTCTTTTTAGAAAGTTCACCATTTTCGGCAAAGCGAAGCTCTTGAGCTCTTTTGAGTCAATTTTCTTTCTGTTGCGGTGTAAGTTCTAGCATATTTTGGAATTTCAATGGCCTTACCCCGAGTTCATTTTTCAATATTTGCCGAATGGAATATTGCGATATGTTCAGCTCACGAGCCATTTTTCGGCCACTGAGACACGGGTTTCGATCAATTCGCTTTTTTGCTTTTCGAACCATTTCTGTTGATGTTGCTGTTTTCTTTCGTCCACTTCCTTGACGTTGGCCTACGCCACCAGTATCACGGTAACGAGTGATGGTACGAAACCCAAAATGGTTTTGTACGCTTTTAAACAATATAATGAGCTGCCACTGGAATAATTTTAACAGCTGTCGGACGAGTGGCTTAGAAATGACAAAAGTCTGAAGTTGGTTGCAGTTTTTTCATCTCACCCTATACTTGTCTTCTCTTTTTATGTATTTTTGTGGACAAAATGCAGGTCGCATTTATTATCCGATTGAGATAAAATTTTCCAAACAATATTTTATTGGCTTAAGGACAAACCCTATTGAGATTTCTGATAATCGGTCCAAATTTAGATATATCTTCCATATATATTTTCAACCGATTTCGGGTTAATTGCGCACTAAATGGCCAGTATAAGTACTTTTGACTTACATTTTGGCACATCCGACAGAATTTAGTCTAGAAGCAAGTACATAAAATTTGGAGAAATTCGGTGCAGATATAGCTATACCTCCCATATATATGTTTCATCCGATTTGGGGTTTTAAGTCCCTCACTTGCGTAATATGCACTCCACAACAATGATATTTTATACCGGCCATCAGATACAGCTCGAAAATACTTCTGCCAAATTTTGTCGAGATCGGATCAGATTTAGATATAGCTCCCATATATATCTTTATCCGATATCAGGTACCAAAATGGGTAATATCAGTCCATATGGACCGAATTTTGGTACTTCCGACGGAATTGAACCTAGAAGCAAGTACAACAAATTTTTGCGCACATCGGTTCAGATATAGCTATATTTGGAGTTTTAAGTCCCTCACTCCACAATAATGATATATGATACTGGGCATCAGATACAGCCCGAAAATACCTCTGCCAAATTTTATCGAGATCGGATCAGATTTTGATATAGCTCCCATATATATCTTTATCCGATGTCAGGATTATTATGCACCAAATGGCTAATATCAGCGCAAATGTACTGAATTTCGGGAAATTCCGACCGAGTTCATCCCCGAGTTCAAGTACTTGAAATTTGGTGAAAATCGGTTCAGATATAGCTATAGCTCCTATATCCTATTTATCCGATTTGGTGTTAAAGTTTCTCACATTTACATTCCAACAATGATATTTGTTTATGGACATGTAGATACATGGAGATGCAGCACGAATATACCTCTGCTTTCTTTCCTTACATTTATAATCTGCAGATTTTTTTCTGGAAATATTTTTTGTGTAGCACAGTGTAATTGAGAGTATTGAAAATTTATTTGGAAATTATTTGTATATACCAAATCCCCTAACCGACCACATTGCCACACACACAATTAAAGAGTCATACACTCATTACTTTCACACACATACACACATCCATATTACTTACCATCCTGTTGGTTTATATCGTACACCCGTTTCGGTCCGCCACTAAATATGGTGCCCTTCACGATAATCACAATGGAGACAAGGATGACAGTCACCGTCTGTATGACGTCCGCATTTATGGCGGCTTTAAGTCCTCCCTAACCGAAAAAAGAAGAAAGAGAACCCGCAAAAATAACGCGGAAGCAAACAAGTGAGTTTTTCGAGTACAAAGCTGGTTGGCTGTTAGCTTGTTGCAGTTTGAGGTTAAGTCCACAAACCAACAACGTAGCAAAAATGTTACCTTGATGGAGAAAAAGATACAAATTGTCGCCATACCGCTAATGGATGCCCAATATGGTATGCCAATTACCGTGGACAAGGCCACACTTGGGGTATAGACGGTGACACCCAGAGAGCATATCTGTCGTATTATATAGGTGGCCGAGGCCAGGCAACGCACCATGCGGGATTTGAATCTGAAACGAGAGAAGAGAAATTCTAAATAAGGAAAAAAAAGGATTTAAATTTTATTGTCTGAAAATTAAAAAAAAAACGTAAAAAGTAGAAGTCGGCTTTTACCGACCGATGTATACCCTCAGCCAATGTCGGAGAATCGAATATTTTTTTATCGAATTTTATGTGAAATCATGTTCATATTTCTGGTTGATATAAATATTTAGATACAGCAAGTTGTAAAGAATCGCAGACTTTTTACGCAAGTTATAACAGGTAAAGTAATCGAAATTGTGATCTTTGGGGAGGAGGTACCAGAAGGGGTTCGCAGATATATATCATATTCACAACAGATCTTTTGTTAACAAAAATGATTGGCTGTGTGAAACGTGAGGAGAATTGGATGCTTATTTCGCTTTCTTTAAGCGTTTTGTTTTTCAAAATCCTGAACCGATATATCTAATCCTGCCGATATATCCCATATTTATAGCAGATCTTGTGTTAGTAGAAATAATGGGATGTGCAAAATTTGAAGAGAACCGGAAGCCTATTTCGAATTTTATGACCGTTTTGGTTATTCTGACCCTTTATTGGGGAGGTGCCTGAACGGTATGTGGAGGAGGTACCAGAAGGAGTGTGCAGATATATCCCATATTTATAGCAGATCTTGTGTTAGTAGAAATAATGGGATGTGCAAAATTTGAAGAGAACCGGAAGCCTATTTCGAATTTTATGACCGTTTTGGTTATTCTGACCCTTTGTGGGGGAGGTACCAGAAGGAATGGTCCGATCTCTACCATCTTCATAGCAGATCTTATGTTGATGAAATCGTTGAGATGTGTGAAATTTGAAGAGAACCGGATGCCTTTTTCGAATTTTATGACCGCTTTAGTTATTCAAAATTTTGACCCTTTGTGGGGGAGGTACCAGAAGGAATGGTCCGATGTCTACCATCTTTATAGCAGATCTTGTGTTGATGAAATCGTTATGATGTGCCAAGTCTGAATGGTATCGGATGTTAATTTCGTGTTTTATGAGCTTCGTGAATATTCAAAATGTTGACCCTTTGTGGGGGAGGTACCAGAAGGAGTGGACCGATATATTCCATCTTCATATCAGACCTTGGGTTAATACAAATATTAGGATGTGTGCAATATGAAGACAATCGGACTGTTACATCACATTTTATAAGGGTTGTAATTATTCAAAATGTTGACCCTTTGTGGGGGAGGTACTTGATGGAGTGGACCGATATTGTCCATTTTCGCACCAGACCTTGGGTTGATAAAAATATTAGGATTTGCAAAGTTGGAGCAAAATCGGATTATGGTTTCTCTTTCTGTGCAGAAAATATATTTTGTGGAAATTTCGACCTTTTGTGTGGGAGCTACCTGAAGGAGTGGACCGATATATTCCATCTTAACACCAGACGTTAGGTTGATAAAAATATTGGGATGCGTGAAATTTGAAGTCAATAGCACTCTCACATCACATTATATTAGAGTTGTAATTATTCAAAATGTTGACCCTTTACCCTTGTCCTTTGACCCTTGATGGAGTGGCCGATATTGTCCATTTTCGCACCAGACCTTGGGTTGATAAAAATATTAGGATTTGCAAAGTTGGAGCCAAATCGGATTATCTTTTCTCTTTTTGTGCATAAAATTATTTTCTTTGAAAATTTTGACATTTTGTGGGGGAGGTACCAGAAGGAGTGAACCGATATTGCCCATCTCCGAACTCGATCTAAGTTTGGCAATAATATTACGATGTACCATGTTTGGATCAAAACGGATACTTCCTTCGAGACATATGGACGGACATCACTAGATCGACTCCAAATGTTCTGAAACGGATTTGGGCCAAAGAGACCTAGGGTCAAAAATCGTTATTACGATGAGGCTCGTTTTGGTTGATTCAAATGATATATAAATGAATCTGTAGCCATATGGCTGAAGGTATAAAAAATGTAATGGAATTTATTACACAGAATGGCGTAATGGAATTTATTACACAGAATGGCGTAACATTTAACTCTTCATTGTCTACTTAAATATTTTATGCCCCCCCCCCCCCAACTTTGCCTCCCCACACCAAATACCCTGGAAGAATGCATTCCTAGGACTGCATGATACACATACTTCAGTACTTCAAATAACTCTCCAAGGCATAATTTTCAAAGACAACATAAAATTATTATCATTTGCCCCCTTTGGTTTTCTGCTGCTATATCCTTTGTGTGGAACTTGGTCCTTCCCTCGAGAAGAGGAGGGATGGGTAAGGAAATACCAACAAAATCTTCTAACAACTCGTTATGTTGAGAATACTACTTGAAGAGTTGTTATTTCAGAGAGCAGGGCAAAAAAAAACATAACGAAGACGAAAGAAAATTTAACGATCCTCAAGGCAACAAAGGAACACACGAACGACTTGTGAGTGTGTGTGTCAATGCATGTGTATGTGTGTGCCCTGCAAATATTGTCAGAACAATAGAAAAGTTGTAAAAATTAAGTGCATTTTGTCTTAAAACTTCAAAGAAAATTAGGAAGGAAAAGCGAACAAATTCCCACTCTCACACACACACATAAGCACCCACTCTTACCCACACACACACACGTAGAGACTAGAAATTAAAGACATCTTCGGGAATAGAAATGAAAAAGGACATCTGTTAACTTGTCCAAGGGAGAGGGGAAAAGTATGTATGTAACTTGTTACAATGTTCTTTAAGATTAGATTCCTCTGTTTTTATACAACAACAACGACAGCAACAAAAAAACCCAACTTATTTTTGTATTGCCCGGGGCCAATGTTTCCATTCTCTGGCATAGGAGAAATCATCAAGGAGCAGGGGAATGGAGAACGAAACAATTCAAAACCATTTGAAAATGTTACAAATTAAATTTATTCTAAAAATCTTTTCATAGCTGGAAGCGGGTGTTCTATAAATGTGGAGGGGGTGGGAGAGAGGAGGAGAAGGGGCAGTGGTGTTGAGAATGGAATAATTAATTTGTTTGTTGTTTTTTTCTGCTGCTGCCATTTTTGCAGCTACTGTTACGTAGCAGCTCGAACAGAGAAATAATGTCACATCACCTCATATCCTTACAATGTTGCCTGTCTGCTATCAAGGATACAAGGATTCAAGTGTAATAAAATGTCTTGATGCAATGAAAACTGGAAGCAAAACGAGTGAAGATTTCAATGCAATACGCTCGACAACGTTGTGTTGTTGTTGCCATCATCTTCCACTTGCATGTTCCATCGGTTTGATGACTTTACCATTTCATTTGTCAAATGGAAGGATGCATGTGACGAGGGGTGGGTCAGAGGCGATATGGGGAAATTTCATAATGCATTTTTTCTAGAGATATTTTGAACAGAATTCAACTCAGAAGACTTCCTTGGTAGTTCTGCTATAGCACAAATGAATAAAAAGCCTTTGAGAGATTTTCTAACAAATTTTTTCCTCTAACATTTATCTTTGTCAAATCTAATTATATATGCGACAAGTATGGGGGAATTCGTGAAAAGTTCGTAAAATGAATTTTTACAGGTGGCGATTCTGTATTCATCGAAGGCTAATTAGAGGACTTTTATTCAGAAAAAAACTTTATTATTTCTAGAGGTATTTTGGAGAAAATACAACTTAGAGGTCTTAATTGGCATAAGGTCCTCGGTAGCTCATTTATAGATGTTGGTCATTTATAGGGGTCTTGGGGGAAGAATAGCCTTATAGAAATGCTCTACCAATAAAAAAAAAACTCATAGATGACTTCGGTTTGATGTCTTTATTACTTAACTAGCAAATATCCGCTATTTCGTCGCAAAAAGTCCACCTTAATATTTTAGATTCGTTTCAAGAGTTCGTTGTCAGTTTCAGACTTCCGGGCAAGGTTTTATATATTATTCCAGTATTTTTTCGGAAAAAATAGGAAAATGTTTACCAAAATTTCCAAAATTTCACGCCAAAAAGTTACAAAATTTGTCATGCCAAATGGACCCACATACATATAATTTTTCTGTCCAAAACTTTTTCAAGATCTCTCTATATAAAGACTTGAAACGTGAAAGTGACCTCAATATCAAATTTCAGGATTTTAGCTTTATATCATCACGCAATGCCAAATTTAGCAACATTTGCAAAGCCACCGCCATGTTTTAACCACACACACCACAAGTAACCACCAAATCGAAGTTCAGAATTTCAACTCTATATCTTCGCACTACCCCAAATGTTGTACTTTTTAGTATTTTTCCTAAATTATTGTACACATATTCAAAACCTCCTCCATATCTCCATCCCAGATACCAATTGAGACTTTAATATTCCAGCCCTAACCCTTTACTGACAGACCTCAAACACAGATATCATCAGAAATCTAAATATCAAATTTCATAATTTTATCTCTACCCTTTCATCCAGTACCAAATCTAGTGTCATTTAGTATTTTTCGTACAAGTATAGTACATATTTCTAAAAATCTCCTCCATATTTTAACCACAGATACCAACAGTGAGATCAGCTCTATTCCTTCACCCTATGCCAAATTTAGTACTAATTTAGTTTATTTCAAAACCACCTCCGTATCTCAATTCTGGATACTAACAAAGGAATCAATATCAAATTTCAAGATATCAACTCTATTCTTCCACCCAATATCAAATTAAGTACCACTTAGTACTTTTCGAACAATTATAGTACATATTTTCCTTAACCACCTCCATAGATCAATTGCAGATACCAACGGAGAATTCAATATCAAATTTCGTGATTCCAGGATTTCTATCCCTTCAATTCCTATCCCCTCCAAAATTTAGTACTATTTAGTATTTCTTTCACAATTATAGCAGACATTTCAAAAACCACCTCCATATCCCAACAGAGGCCTAAATATTAAATGTGACGATTCCAGCCGTGTTACTTTATCCAAAATCAAATTTAGTACCACTTAGTACTTTTCGTACAATTATAGTATACATTCACAAAACCATTTCCCCTATACAAACGTTGATATTTATTTAA